ACCACCTAAGCCTCCTCCTTCAGTGCCCTTTACAAGTATCCTGAGTGTTTTGCTTTTGCAAAACCCTCTGGTCATGAGATCTGGGGCTACTTGGTGAACCCCAAGAGTGCTGCAGTCCAAAGCCTTTGACTTGGTCTCATTGTCTCTAAGCAGGGTCAAATCTAATTCAATTTCCCTTTTAAAAATGCTTTTTGCCAAGCTCCCAAAGGCCAAAGCTGGAACAATTTGAGCAACAATGTAATGAGAGTATTGGATTATAACCTATAGAATAAAATAAATATCCATTAGTGCATACTTAGATAAATAAACAATTGAATACATTAGGAAATGGGAAAGAAAGGACAGTAGAATTCTAATCAATACAAAGAATGAGAGAAATCGAAACTCACAATGAAGCAAACACCACAGTAATATTTGCTTCGGATACCATCCACCAATGGACACTAAAATTAGCAGGCCAAAGTTTGAGGAGAAACAGGATATTTATAGAATCTCAAAGTGTTTCTCTTAAGAGTATTAATTACAAAGGAATAAATCTTAACTTTATACTGAAAAATCTAGCAGATACCACCTTTACCATGTGGTCAAGGTTAATATCACAGTCATAAGATATAGGACATTGGCTGGGCGTGGTGGCTAATGCCTGTAATCTCAGCACTTTGGGAGGCCGAGACGGGTAGATCACCTAAGGTCAGGAGTTTGAGAACAGCCTGGCCAACATGGTGAAACTCTGTGTCTACTAAAAATACAAAAATTAGCCAGGTGTGGTGGCAGGTCCCTGTAATCCCAGCTATTGGGGAGGCTGAGGCAGGAGAATCACTTGAACCTGGGAGTTGGAGGTTTCAGTGAGCTGAGATTGCACCACTACACTATAGCCCAAGCAACAGTGCCAGACTCCATCTCAAAAAAAGGAAAAAGATATAGGACATTATGTGCTCCCTGATATGATGCCCTGCAAAGGTATATTAGTCAGGATTCTCCAGAGAAACTGAACTATTAAGATTTGTTATAAGGAGTTGGCTCACACAATTATGGAAACTGACAAGTCCCAAGATGTGCAGGATGAGCTGGCAAGCTGGGGACCCAGGAGGGAGCAGTGAAGGAAATCTGTCTTTCCTTACTCAGGAGAGGGTCAGCCTTTTTGTTCTATTCAGGCCTTCAACTGATTGGATGAGGCCCACCCACCTTAGGGAGGACAGTCTGCTTTACTCAGTCCACTAGTTCACGTGCTAATCTCATCCAGAGACACCCACACTGACACACTGTGCTATTTTTGCAACATTTCTGTAAATCTAAAATTATTTTAAAATAAAAATTTAAAAAAGCTTTCTGCCATCAGGTACTATGAGGACTTTTGAATGTTGGGATACTATTGTATTCTTTACATTCATAACTGTCCTGTGTGTGTGCACACTTATATAATTTTATGTGTGCCACTCACCGTTTTCCACGGATACTAAGTTCCACCTGTATTTTTGCAGGCACCTTTAAAAACACTTGGTTTCTGTTCTCTTTTCCCTTTTGCACTCTGTATTCCTTCTTGCCCAAAGCATCCTTTTGTAAACTTTCACAGCTCTGCCCTTCTGCTGTTCCATGCGGACTTTATCTCTGAGATGAAGATCCGTGTGGCACATTGTGGAGACTGAGAGCATCAGCCAGAAGTCGGGAGACCTGGTAGCATTCTCCTCCTTCTTCTCTACTTACTAACTCACTGTCTTCCAGTTTTAACATTTTGAGGCCAAATGGCAAATTTTGGCTAAACATTATGTGCACTATTTGATGTGTGTGTTTGAATGATTATATTTTTGTGATTTTTTTCTTTTTATCAAAGTCCTGTGTGTTCTAATTTTAGGTTTTCCTTTTTTTTTTTTTTTTTTTTTTTGAGACAGAGTCTCACTCTGTGCCAGGCTGGAGTGCAGTGGTGCGATCTTGGCTCACTGCAACCTCTGCCTCCCAGGTTCAATCAGTTCTCCTGCGTCAGCCTCCCTCATATCTGGGACTACAGGCTCATGCGCCACCATGCCCAGCTTTGTGTTTTTGTAGAGGCAGGGTTTCACTATGTTGGCCAGGATGGTCTTGATCTTGACCTCATGATCCACCTGCCTTGGCCTCCCAAAGTGTTGGGATTACAGGCGTGAACCACCGCACCTGACCAGTTTTCCAAATTTTTATTTGTATTTATGTTTTACATTTTGCCTTGAAAGTCTTTGGATTCTACAACAGACTTCAACATTTACAGATTTTACTCCGGCATTTCCCTTAGAGTCCTTTTGAGTAATTCAAGGACAGCAACATTTTCTTTTTCCTTCTCTCTGAGGCTGTGTGTAGCTCTTCTCACAATGATCCTGAAGCCCTCTCGTGGCTTCCAGTGTGTGGGTAGTCCTGTGTGTGGTTTGAATGGGTTAAGCCCTGGCATAATCCCATAGGGAGGACTGTTTGGCCACCTGGCCAACACCCCCCTCCTGCCCTAGCAGGGTAGCAGGAGAGCTCCCATGAAGTTTCCCTCTGCCTACCTGCCTTCACTTAATGCCAGCAAGGGTGTGGTGGAGTCATGGCATCGGTGGGATGCACCCTTCCTAAGTAACACTTTAGGAGTTACTTCTTATGCTGTCTAGTTTTTGTTATTTTGTTCAGGTAGTACTTTCTCTGGTTTTTCCCCCAGTACTTGGACAAGACTCAAATGTTGGAGAAGTCGGTGGACAATGGGAAATAGCTGAGGGCTCTAACGTGAATGACTTGATTGTCCTCACCAGAAAAGGAAATTTGGTGAGGTTCAGCATATTGCCCTAGTATAGGGTATTCCTTGGTCCCTACGGCATATATAGGAGAAATGATTTTTAAAAATCACTTCCCCCTTCATTTGTGCTGTAACAATTGTTAACCTGTGTTCCTACCTCCAGCCATTTCCCCCTCCTGTCTTTCCTCTGCATTGTCATCAGATACTCAGCTTCCTCAGCTTGTCACTCAAGAACAGTGAAAGCGGTAGATATTCCTAGAGTACAGCATGTAGAACCAGGCCAGGCATGTAGTAAACGTGGTATAAGGGTCTGCTAAATAAAAACAAGAATTGACCCTTACCTTCAAAGAGCTAACAACATAGCTGGAAAGATAAAATGCACACGCGTGCGTGCGCACACATGCACGCACACACACACACACAATGCATACAGCATTATGGGAAAAACGTCACTCAAGAAGCCTGAGAGAGAAGAGGGAGGAAATATCTGCTGTGTGCTCTGCTCAAGGCGCCTCCATTACTCTCTTCATTTTATAGTTCAGAAGGTTAATAGACATTAAATGCCTTCAAGTCCTTTAAGGTTGTATGTGCAAAGGGAGAGCGAAACCCAGGATTGTGTGAACTGAAAGCTCCTGTTGCCACCAGAAAGCTTTGAATACAGGCTGGAGCTGGACCTTGAAGGATGGATAGAATTGATTAGAGAGAAGTGGTGAGCACATATAAGTTGTAGGGGTAGAGAAAGGGTGGGCATACATGAGCAAAGGTGTAGCAGTGGGAGGCATAAAGTGTGATGGGGAACGGGGGTGGTCCCCAGGTTTGCTAGGGTAAGGGAGGAATGAAGGATAAAGCTAGAATGTAGGTTGGAGGCAACCTATAATGCACTTTAAGTTTGAAGTTGAGTTTGGACTTCATTTCATTTCAAAAGCCATGGAAGGTGTTTGAAAGGGAGTGACATGATAAAAAGAGTATCTTAGTATCTCACACCTGTAACCCCAAGCAGTTTGGGAGGCGGAGGCGGGCAGATCAGTTGAGGTCAGGAGTTTGAGATCAACCTGGCCAACATGGTGAAACCCCGTCTGTACTAAAAATACAAAAATTAGCCAGGTGTAGTGGTGAGCACCTGTGATCCCAGCTACTCGGGAGGCTGAGGCAGGAGAATCACTTGAACCCGGCAGGTGGAGGTTGCAGTGAGCCAAGATCATGCCACTGCACTCCAGCCTGGGCAACAGAGAGAGACTCCACCTCAAAAAAAAGAAATGACTTAGGAAGTTAATAGTGTCAGGAGGGATGTGGAAAGGACTAGAGAAAGGGAGAGGCTGTCATGAGTGTTAATGTACATTATATCATTTCATCCTCACAATAATCCAAAGAAATAGACACTCTTAGTTTCATCCCCATTTCCAGATGGGAAAACGGAGGCTGTAGAAATTATGTGATGACCAGATTCCCACAGTGAATAATGGTGATGCCAGGATGTGATCTAAGCAGATCTGTCCCTCCAGTGCTTCCTCTGTATGCAGCAGTATCTGACAGTAGCCTGGGAGATGTCTTGGGTCAGTTGTAATAGGTTGAATGTGATAGTCCAGTGACAGGGCCTGGATGAAGTCAGTGGTGTGAAATGGAGAGATGGGAGCAGCAGTGTGAAACATCCTTTCATAGGAACCTGATGCCAGGGCTGAGCCTGTGACCTCATAGCTTCTCTTTACTTAGTGTTTTCCATGGAAGCTGGTCCTCAGAGGTGAGAACCTTGCCAGGATCATGTGGTGTCATGGGAAACCTCACCACCAAACCTTTCAAGCTTAGGCTTCTTGTTTTTCCCGGGGAAATGTATTTAAATTAATAATGTCAGTGCTGATGTTGGCTGTGCTTGGTTTGGGTTACTTTTGAGATGGTTTAAGCAAACTTACAGTTGTTCTCAAGCATCACACACTTTACTTAACTAGAGTTTGAGACAAGAAGGTTCTCCAGAGGTCTGGTGGTGATCATTTCTGCCCTTTTTCCATGAATGTCCTCCCTCATCTGCTTATTTTGATATGTTCCCTGTGTTGCTATCCTATGGGTTGATGTATCACATAATTGCTTAATTCATTTTACTTTTGTTTTATTTTATTTTTTTTAAGAAAAAGGGTGTGTATGCATTTCAACTCTGCTAAGCTTTTTGGCATTCAGTTAAAGAATGTATAATAGAGTGTGCTAAATGCCATTGCGATGGTGTAGGGCAGTGTGGACCAGCCCAGTGACTTCTCTGCTTTATCTACTGCAGGTGATAAGAAGTACATCATGGGGCCCAAGCTTTCCACTCTCGACGCCACTGTCTTTGGACACTTGGCACAGGCAATGTGGACCTTACCAGGGACAAGACCTGAGCGGCTGATGAAAGGCAAGCCCTACACACCTCTTCAGGTTTTGGGGCTTCCTGGGGGTGGGTGGGCAGTGGGGTAGCAGAGTGGAGAATTCTAGGCCAATGCTTTGATCTTGGCTGTGCTTTATGGAGACACCAGGCTGTGGTGTACGGGCTAGGGTTGGTTCTCTGTACTCAGGACACTTTGGCATGGAAGAGAGACTGTGCTTCTCACTTGCTATCTTGCCTAGACTATGTACTTAGCAATGTTGACATAGATCTGCCATGTTTTTTTTTTTTTTCCTCTCTTCTCTCTGCTGTCCACAGAGAGCATTGTGTTATCAGTTCAGTGTGCCCGCTGCCTTGTTGATAGGCGCAGCTGCCTTCTACTAGCAAGGGCAAAGGGTCTGTAATCCCAGCACTTTGGGAGGCTGAGACAGGTGGATCATGAGGTCAGGAGATTGAGACCATTCTGGCCAACATGGTGAAACCCTGTCTCTACTAAAATACAAAAAATTAGCTGGGCATGGTGGTGCACACCTGTAGTCCCAGGAGGCTGAGGCAGGGGAATTGCTTGAACCCAGGAGGCAGAGGTTGCAGTGGTCGGAGATCGTACCATTGCTCTCCAGCCTGGCAACAGAGCCAGACTCCATCTCCAAAAAAAAAATATTGTCCAGGTGCACTGGCTCATGCCTGTAGATCTGCCATGTTTTTATGCTAACACTTTCATTCTACCTGCTTACATAGTGGACCTAAGATTTTTGCTGAAGTAGGGCTTGAATTCCACGTAGTGCCCTTCGTTTGCTGGTCTTCATCAATTTTCTTTGGGCAATGGGGGCTCCCCACTTTGTGGTGTATTTTGCCTTACTGTAGGTTAATGTAAGTGTTCTGAGCATGTTTAAAGCAGGCTAAACTAATGTATGATGTTTGGCAGGTTAGGGGTATTAAATGCATTTTGGACTTTATGTATATATATATAGACATATGTACATATATATTTTTTATCTGTTGCTTGGGCTAGAGTGAAGTGGCATGATTATAGCTTACTGTAACCTAAAACTCCTAGGCTCAAGTAATCCTCCTATCTCAGCCTACTGAGTAGCTGGGACTTCATGAGTGAGCCACCATATCCAGCTAATTAAAAAAAATTTTTTTTAATAAATGAGATCTTCCTGTATTGCCCACGCTGGTCTTGGCATCCTGGCCTCAAGTGATCCGTCTGCTTCAGCCTCCCAAGTAGCTGAGATTACAAGTATGAACCACTGTGCCCAGTTGACTTATGATAGTTTTAGCTTTTGATGGGCTTATAGGGATGTAGTCCTATTTAAGTCAAGGAGCATCTGTATGTGGTAGCTAGGGCCTCTGGGAGAGGCTTCCCCTGCATAGTTGGGTAGGAACTGTTTGAAGGAGTACCCAAGCAAGTGCCTGGGGGCTAGGGATGTGGGGATCAAAGTTCAATATTTAGGTTTGGGGAAGGATATTGACAAGAATTAATCAAAATGTTTATGCCCAACTGAGCAGGCTGGGTATGTAGGCAGGAGACCACTAGAATAGCACATAGAATGCTCTTAATAAATGTTGAATGGATAACTGGATGGGTGAATGGATGGATGGATGGATGGATAAATGGATGGACAGATGGATGGGTGAATGGATGGCTTGATGGATAGTTGGATAGATGGAACCAAGCAAGGCAGAATCATACAAGAAACTGAGGCAAGCAAGCAGTCGTATATGGTGGTCATGGTAAATGGGTGGGGAGGTAGTGGAGCCTGCAGCTCTGTGTGTCTGTGTGTGTATATATGCATGTGTGTCAATTCATGTGCATGCCCAGGAGGTTGAACTAGGCTGAAGCCAGCAGCACTCACTCTCCAGATCCTCTTGTTGGTGCGTATGGGGCTCCAGATACCTTGTCAGGCTTGGTTGGAATGGGTCAGGCATTGATCGAAGGTCTTCTGGAAGTTCAGCTGAGTGGGACTAGGGATTGTATGGACTGTCATTTAATTTCCTAAGTGGTCATTATGAGGATGTTCCTTGTTTTGCAATACATTGGTATTTCTCTAAATTAAATATGTTATCACATTGGTGAGGTTTGTGGCATTTAAAATATTAGTTTCCCTTTATTTTAATCATATTTTTCCATAGTGGGCTAAACGATATTGATTCCTTGTAGTTAATTTAGGGCTGTGTTTTATGTCCATTCTCTATTCCTATTATTTCCTACTCTATTTCCCCCCATTCTCCCACCATACCATCCTTACAGAACCCCATGTACACACCCATCCACATCTACTCAAATGCTCTGTACACCCCCCACACACACTCACTTGTACAGATATGCCTATACTTCCACCCAGACACATCCCTGAATACACAACTATGCACACACACACACATACACACTATTGTGGTCATCTGTTATTTAGTCTGAAGTATTTAGGGACCCATTATCAGTAGAACTCACAGACTGTATAGAATTCCTTTTTTCAGAAAGGATGCATTTTTTTGTTTATGATTTGGCCATTTTCTCTATTACTTCCTGAAAGGACTTGAGGCATTTAGTGTCTTTTTTTTAAAGAAATGATCAGCCTTTTTCGAGGATTGATTTTGGGCCTCATGCACATCTGGGGAATCTGACACCATTGTCTGAAGGGGCTTTTGGCACATAGTTGCATGTACTTTGATTCTTAAAGTAGCTTCCAGCTTTCCCTGACTACTGGTGTAGCATGAATTATTAACGTCCACAGGGATCTCTAAATCCCATTTTTGGCATTAGCTTCCATACCCCTTCTAAATCTTTGGATTGGAGTTGATAACGTGCAGCCAAACTACTACTGCTGTAATTTGCTCTCAACCTCTTTCCCTGCCTTTGCTGTCTCTGTAATAGAGACCTTCTCAAGAAGTAGCATGAGAAGGGTTAAGTAGAAACAACAAGGAGCCTGGAGATTTTAGAGCTGGCTGAAACCCAGGGGTGTGAATGGCTTGGATTCAGGCAGTTTTCTGCCTTAGCGTTGGAATGGCAGAAGCACCACTAGGCCTTGCCTTATTGTGAGTGTGTTTGGATGAATATTAGTTTTTTGGTCCAATGTATTATTTACAAAGCCACACAGCTACTTTTGGAACCATGTAGAATAGTGTGAAATTTTCCTTCATTTAGATGAGCAGGAGGACAAGCTTTTTTTTTTTTTTTGAGATGGAGTCTTGCTCTGTCGCCCCAGGCTGGAGTGCAGTGGCGTGATCTTAGCTCACTGCAACCTCCGCCTCCTGGTTCAAGCGATTCTCCTGCCTTAGCCCCCTGAGTAGCTGGGATTACAGCAGTGTGCCACCATGGCTGGCTAATTTTTGTATTTTTGGTAGAGATGGGGTTTCACCATGTGGTCAGGTTGGTCAGGCTGGTGTCGAACTCCTTGGGACAGGCTTTGAATATACTTATGTATGCATATATCTATCTGGATAGAGATGTAAATATGAATAATAATTTGCTTACTGGAGAAAATTTAGAAAATATAGAAAAGTTTTAAAAGAATAAAAAATAACTTGTGACACCATCTTTCACAGAGAATGATTTCTGATATTGTGGTATGTAGCAGATCTTTTATCAAATATAAGTATATATATATATATATATATATATATATATATTTTTTTTTTAGATTGGGACCATAATGTTGATACAATTATAACCTAAAGTTTTAAAATTAACTGTGTATTTTGGTCATTTCCCTTGTCATGAAATACTCTTCAAAATGGTATTTTTAGTAGTTGCATAATATCCTATCCTATGGCTACATGGTAATTTATGTGACTGATCTATTTCTGGACTTGTGGGTTGTTTTAAATAACTTTTACTAATATTCTATAATGAACATTGTTATAAATATATACTCTTGCTCATCTCTGGTTATTTCCTTAGGCTAAATTTCTTGTTCGGTAATTACTCTCTCAAAGGGCATAAGCTCTTGGTCTCCATGGCTAAATTGCTTTCTAGTAAGATTACACAATTTATATTCTCATGAGCAAACTCTGAAAGTACTTCCAATTTTTGTCCATTAGGATTGAATATAATTTATTTTGAATTTTTTGCCATTTTGATACCAAAAAAACCTCAGTTTTATGATTAGCAACATTCTTAATATGGAGTCGGATTTGATATTTTAATCAGGGCTCTTAGAGAATTGCATGTGGATTGAGACACTCCTTAAAACAGATGTGGAGAGCTTAAGAAAGCTGAGAAAAGTGAAACTGAAACTGAAGCCACGATGGGTCAAGAGCTCTGCAGCCTGTCTGCCTGTGTCCTCCAGAGTCCCATCAAAACCACAGACCTTAATGCGATTTTCTGAATTAGGAGGAGCACAACCTTCTGTGCTCTAGGAAAAACCTCATTCAGCAATTTTTACCAGCAGTTATTTATTGTATTTAAATGTCTTTTTTACTCATTACTTGATAGATTAAAAAGTAGAAAAAATGCTGCCTCTTCTTGACCAGCATGTAAATATTTCCTCACTCCTGTACTCTTACTGTTCTCCATCTGGAGGGAAGTGTTCAGGAAGAGGTTGTCGTGAGGGGATTTGGGTTTCAGGGAAGGGCTGGATCAAGTTACCTTGGCTGGTCTTTGTATTTGGAGATCTGTGAGTTAATATTTTTTAGCTTCGAGGAGACCAGGCAAAGGGGATATTTTCACTAGAGTATTCAAGTATTTTGGGAACTTTTCTGAAGAGGATATATGCTCAGCGTCCTCTTTGCATGCATGACAGATGCTAAAAGGAGCAAACAAGAGTATAGTCAGCGCCTGATCTGGAACAGGGAGGTGCTGAGTAAATACGTGTAGAGCAAATGTGTATGTTTGGATGTTGGCCTGTGTTTTCCAAGTTATTTGCTGGTTCGTGACCAAGGGCTGGTGGGTGCTGCTGGGAGACATTGGCAGGCTTCTCTCTCATCTGCATTCCTGCCTTGAGTGATTGGCAGCTGGGAGAAGCTTAGTTCTGGATTCTGGGTTTGGTTGACAATGTTTTTGGCATCAAATTGCACAGAATGTTTTGATTATTAGAGAAATTAGAGGATATAGGAATATAAAACGTCACTTTTTTCAAAGAGCAGGGAGGGTATTTCCATTTGAGAAACTGTAAGAGAAAAGTTCTTTATTCTACCTGGGATTATCTTCTGGGTAGACGGGCACTTGGCTTTCTGATAAATATCCTCTCAAGTTGTCTGAGAATATCACTGTGTTTTTTTACCAATTTATTTTATTGGATTTATAGATTTGAAAAGTAATACATGATTGTTACAGTAAGTTGAGTTACAAAGGCATAGTTTAAAAAACTTATGACCTTCTCTTCATCCATGTCCAATATTATTTCTATAGAATAATCAATATTAAGGATTGAATGTAAATCCTTTTGTGCCTTTTTCATATACAGATTTACGTATGCATATGTAGGTGTTTTGGTTTGTTTTTACTTTTTTTAAACTAAACAATGGAATTATACGCATTATCCATAACTTCTTTTTTTCACTTAACAGAACATCATATCATTTTAATAACCTCACAATATTCTATAGCATAGATGCACCTTAATTTATTCAATCAATACCTATTGATGGACATTCCGGCTGTTTCCATCATTTTCTTTCTTCTTTTTTTTTATTTTTCACTTAAAAAAGCTTCATTTGGTATTCATGTACATGTATCTTTACATACCACTGCTTTCATTATAGTTGAATAGTGTATTAAAAGTGAAATACTGGGCCATGAGATATGCAAATTTAAAATTTTGATAGATAACATCAGATTGCTTTCCAAAAAATGTTATAGCAATGTATACCTCTGCCAGCCACGTAGTGCAGTGCCTGACTGTCCACATCCTCATCAGCGTTGGACGTTATCAGACTTTTTTAAACCAGTGTTACTACCTGATTGTCGACTACACTTTGAAGAAATGCAGTTTCTCTATCATTTTGCAAAGTTTATGTCTTCTGTATAGGCTTTTTTTTTTTTTTTTAAGATAGAGTGTCACTCTTATCTCCCACGCTGGAGTGCAAAGGCAAGATCTCAGCTCACTGCAGTCTTCGCCTCCCGGGATCAAGTGATTTTCCTGCCTCAGCCTTCCAAGTAGCTGGGAATACAGGCACCTGCCACCACACCTGGCTGATTTTTGTTTTTTAGTAGAGAGGGGGTTTTGTCATGTTGGCCAGGGTGGTCTCAAACTCCTGGCCTCAGGTTATCTGCCCACCTCGGCCTTCCAGAATGCTGGGATTACAGGCATGAGCCACTGCGCCTGGCCTGTATAGGCATTCATATTAACACAGGTTTATCTCTCTCTCGCGCGCACACACGCACGTGTACACACACACACACACACACACAGATACTCAACACAACCTGTTTCTGCTGCCACCTTTTTCTGTTCTTTTGTCCAATAGCATGTTAAGTCGCTCAGCTGACAGAGAATTTAGGCACAGGAAGATATAGGCAAAGCCAGAAGAAGATAAAACCCAACTGCAGATATCCACTTTCTGTTTCACTCTTTATCAGGTGCAGGAACTGAGGAATATGTGGGCTCCCAGCTCTTGCTCATCAAAGCAAACCCTTTCTCAACTACATGTTGGAATGTTCACCTCTTTCATGACAGCACAATGCCATTAGGGGGAGGCACCTCTCCCCTCACAAATCTTGAGACCTCAAGAATAATTACAGAAAAATATTCCATGACAGGTAGTGCACTGCTACTAATTCCCAGGCCATGCTGTTAGCTCATCAGTAGAGAGTTGAGTGGAGGTGAAGGGCATGAGGACTAAGGAGGTTAATATGAATTCAACAGGTGAGTGAAGCACTTTAAGTGCCTGGCACACAGTCAGGACTATATAACGGTTTGCTATTATAATTATTAATTTTTGTTATTGCATACTGAAGTGGTATTAATGTCACATGGTTACAGAGCAGGCAACTTTTCTGGAGAAAGGTGAAGAAACAAGGCTGTAGAAAGAAAAGCTATGTAAGAAGTGACAGTCATAGAGCCAGTGGATTTTGTGAATAGATTCTGATTTTCTGTAGGAAAAGCTCGTAAAGAATGGATTTGATTGAGTCAAATAGGGCTGGCCCCAGGTACTACTGTGAAGTGACTGTATTTCATCTTTGATGTCTCTTTACCTCCCCAATTAGATCTTTTTTTCCTCTTGTTGCTGCCTTCACATCTTTATTCAATTCTTGGTTCCCCAGGATAGGCAGCAATACCTGGAGAGGCGTTTCATGACTGTCCTCATGTCCTCATGCTGCATCTCCTCAAAAGGAGCAATGGTGTTGACTTTTCACTTTCTGGCTCCTGAGCATGTGCACAAATATCTTCTGAAAGAGAATAGACTTTTACATAGCGAGGGTTGAGCTGTTGTAATCTGAGAAGACTGGAAATGGTGACCTGGAACCAGTACAAGTCTGTGGGATCCATGAAGCAGGGGGATTTACTTTGTTACGTTTTGCAGGGGATGTAAGCAAGTTTTGAAAAATTTTAATGACATGGGAAAATGTACATTAATGTTACAGGAGATAACATGTAATAATAATTGCAATAGATAAATAGAAAAATACTGAAAGAAGTTACACCAAATGGTAATTGTGATTATCTTGGATTGATGAAATCATGGGTACTTTTAATTTTCTTCTTTATGTATTTGTACAGTTTCTATATACAGACTAATTCTAATTTTCCAAAATGAGAATATGTTATTTTCCTTAACAGAAAAATGAAATAGAGTAGTGACAAAGTATAATCAACAAAACCATGAATATAGAAACAACCTAAATGACCTGTGATGGGGATTGGTAAAGACGAATTGAAGCCATATAACATAGTGTGCAGTTATCATTGTGGTCAGAGTGTGAAGTTCAGAGGTTTTTATTACATGTTATTAAGTGAAAAGTAGGATAGGAAAAAGAATATATAGTAAATCCTATATAGCACATGTAAATATATGTAAATATGTACATTTCTGGAGAACATAAATGAAAATGTTATTGTGGGGAATGGGATTATTGGTAATGCTTTTAGTTTTTGCTTATCTGTTATTTCTAATTTTCAGCACTGAAGCATGGATTATTTACACAATATGTGAATGTTTATATAACTTAAAAAAATCCAAAGATATTCTTAGAGTAATGATGTCCTATAAGAGATAGTAGCAAATCATATATTTATAAGCAATGTTGCCATCTGCTGGATCAAAAGGAGAAGCTCACCCTCTTTCTTTGTTTTTCATTTGGAATTAGGAAATGAAGGCCAGATATATTTCAGACAAATGCCTAGACAGTAATAGCGACTTAACACAAGAGTTTCTTTGATTCACATGGAAAAGAAGTATATAGTTCAGTGACTGAGTAGGACCTGGATCCTGGGTACCGCTGTTTAATTTCATATAAAAATTTAAAAATATCTTATACTAAGTGTGTTTGCAGGCACACTTATCCATAAAGACAATTCTGAGTTATCCATTTAATGGATTTTTTTGGGCAGAAAAGTTTATATCCTAACATAAATTTTTTCAACTATTTGGCATAGTACTCAGCCCATAGTGCACTGCAAAAATATGTGGAGTAAATGATTACTTCTGGCTGACTTAATGCAACCAGCAGTTGATATGTTTTCATGGAATATAATTTATATATGAACCAATCAAATCATTAGTTTTTTTCATATGCAAACATAAAATAATAAAATGCTTCATAAAGCCAAATGATAGTAGTTTATCTGCCGTTTTGGATAAACTACCCCACCACTTATCATCGTCAGACTCATTTCTTCATTTCATTCAGCCCACTCACTGAATTTAACTTTTCTCACTTACCGTTTTTATTATGTGCTTAAAAGCCTAAATATTTTCACAGTGTCTTTATGGAAAAATAATGTTTACCTTGCCTCATTATTCCAGTTTCCCAGAAAGCCCAGTGGCTGGATGTCTTAGTTTGGGCCTCTCTCACAGAATGCTGCAAGCTAGATTTCTGGTAAACAACAGAAATGTATTTCTCACAGTTGTGGAGTCTGGGACATCCGGGATCATAGTGGGAAGTGCAGGATTATGATGCTGACCAGTTCAGGATCTGACTCTGGTGAGGGCCTGCCTGCTGGGCCTGCCTCCTGGTGAAGGCCGGCTTCCTGCACCTGGACACAGTGCTGTCTCGCTGTGTCCTCACATGGTAAAAGGGGGAAGGCAGCTGTCTCTGGCCTCTGTTATGAGGGCACTTGGCTCTCATGACCCAACCACCTCTTAAAGGCCCCACCTCCTAAGACCATCACATTGGAAGTTAGGATTTCAACATTGGAATTTTGGGGGAACACAGACCATAGAAGTGGTAGACTGCTGCCTTTGAGAACTAACCTTTGCTTTCCTTGCCACACTGCAGGTGAGCTGATCAATCTCGCCATGTACTGTGAGAGGATACGGAGGAAATTCTGGCCAGAGTGGCACCATGATGACGATAATACCATCTATGAGTCTGAGGAGAGCAGCGAAGGCAGCAAAACCCACACCCCGCTGCTGGATTTTAGCTTTTACTCAAGGACAGAGACCTTTGAAGATGAGGGAGCAGAAAACAGTTTTTCCAGAACCCCAGACACGGATTTTACCGGACACTCACTCTTTGATTCGGATGTGGACATGGATGACTATACAGACCACGAACAGTGCAAGTGATGTCCAGCCTCGCTGACCCTCTTCCTTGGGATCTGCCATTCCCTGGGTCGGTCCATTTTCCCAGGTAGCATTCCATCCGAGCTGGGAGGAGATCTTCGTGCTTGGCACAGTTTTCACATGCTAAGTGGACTATAGCAGCCTTATTTCTTTTTTGTACAAACAAAACACAGAACCATTCAGATGACTTCATTTAAAACAAACAGGCAAAAAAAAAATAATAATAATGTCAGCATGGTTCCTGAAATCCATTTTTGTTTTCATTAGAAAACTATTAATAATACTGTGTGGTAGAGCAAGTATCAGAGCGGGTTGCCAGCTGATAGGGTTTATGATGATCCTCTTCATCCTGAGGTCTTAGTTGTGAGATGGATTCTTGAACCTCCTTCATCCACCAGGATTTGAAGTAATGAGAGATATCATCAGAAAAAGTGTAGGAGATAAATGTTTTCTGGTGGCTGCTTGTACTTTATGTGTGTATATTGTATGTTGAGACGTAAGTCAAATAAAATCCACAGATATTCAACAAACACCTACTATGTGCAAAGCACCGTGCTAGGTGCTAATCAGTATATGTTTTATTCTAAGCCCTGCCAGTGACTAGCTGTGTGATTTTGAGCAAATCTCTTATTAACTAATGTGTACCTCATTTCTCCCACCTGCGAAGTGGGGATGACAATACTCTCCACCTACCTACCTCACAGGGGTGTTGTGGGGATTCATGTGATAACATTCTTTTGGCGCTTTAAACCTCTTGGAAGTGGTGCAACATAAACACAGCATTTTATTCTTTATTGCACTTCATGCTTGTGAAGATTTGAGGGCAAAGGAATTCCGTATCCAGGCAGCCACCACCACAGTCACTTGCAAAAGCTGAAATGCACACAAAGGTACACTTAGGACTTTGTCATCATTCCTTTCTGTTATCTTGGTTGAATCAAAATCTTTTGCTCAAAGAACGTTGGAAATGTTTTTACAAATTATCGACAGCTACAGACAGTTTTCAATTCTACTGTGTATTTGCAGAAAAGTGGTTCTTTCATTGCCTGAACTCATCATTGCATGTTCTGTGTTGACTCCGGAGTGTTAAGTTGCCTATGTTTGATTTATTTGAGGAGAATAAATCTCAGGAATACAGTGGGTTTCATAGAGGTGAAGGGGAAAGTATTTGACTGATTTTTGTAAGCAGAGGCTTGCCAACTTGTAATGTCTTTTTGAAAACAAACCTTGCAGAGATATATTGAAAAGATGAAGTGGCAAGATGATACTTGTATCAAAGCACTCTGTTCAGTGATAGACTGTATGCGGTTTTATTAATGCAACTTATCTGGTGTTTTCGGCCACTGCCCAGTGAGAGGAGAGCAATCCTGAGAACAAGTCTTAATGTCTTTCCTGTGTCTTCCCCGTTCTCTCTCTCTTTCTCTACAGTATTCTATGAAATGTTGGCTTACCCATGTTTGTGAAGGCACCATATTTCCAAAGGTTTTTTTTTTTTTGACTTAGGACATTTTCTAGGGAAATATGGGGCAACGATCCTGGGTGATGGTTGTGGATTTGGCCTAGGAGAGCCAGTGTTAAGAATTTACAATTGCAAATGAAACTGCTTTGCTTCTGACCAACATAAGGATTGTTCATTATGGGGTTAAAGAGGCACTTCTTAAAGGCAACTTCTGAGAAATCCATGTACTTTACTTGAAAAAAAAAAACACCTCTTTTTGAATATAGCTTTGCAAAATCATCTTAAAAGACTACTGTAGATTCACAAAGAGGTAAAGGGAGAAGAGTTTTTGAGACTGTTTACTTACCTCTTAAGCAATTGCGTAGGGCATATGTATCTGGGAATATATGCTGAGATACCCCAAGTTAGAAATTCTTATTCCATGGGAAACTTAGTTTTTAAAATCTTATTATAAGGGTTTTAATAAAACCCTTCTTATTTAAAGGGACTGTTTGATGCCTAATAAGAATGTGGTGGAGAAGATGTGAGTGGATAAGCCTGTTTTGAGGCTCCAGCGTCATTTGGGAGGACTGTTTGCCTCCCCTGTCTCTAGCAAGTGTGTTTTAAGGCCAACTGTGGCACTTCTGTGTGATTAGGGAGAATATGAATATAATGAACAGGTGGACAGTAGACCTGTATCCACAAAGCATGGGTTGTCTTTTCCCTACCACATTTCAGCTGAAAAGAAATGTATTTGAATTTTTTTCTGTAAACAATTTATTCTTACTGTACAGTACCAAGTGTGATGTATTTTCTCTCAAAGGCTGATCAAGTTATGAGAATGTAGATTCATATATGTTTTTAATTTTGTATTACTTGGAATACAAGTATGTGGAGAACCAACTTTGAAAATGAAGTTGTAAAATAAGTCATTCCATCCAGGTACCTCCTGCAGGGGCATGAATGGACATTGCTACCTGGAGTCTTTGGGCACTTGCTTGACAGCTTATGACTGGGCACTCAACATTTTGTAGGTGTTAACTTAATTTCGATCCCTGGAATATATGCCCTAGCTTTACTTTTCCAAGGTGGGTTATGCAAACAAAATAACCAAGACAAAGTCACCACGGTGTGGATCTTTAACCAGAAGGCTTTGATTTCCTGTGATTCATTCTTAAGCTACCCAGATTTGAAATGTTCTCCAATTTCATGAACAGGTGCTAATTATAAGAAAAAACAATAAGAAGTTAAGGGACATTTTAGTCATCTGGCTTCTTGTTTAAATTCTGTTTCCTTTTTGCTGGGAGGTAACTTGAAGTATGTGATCTTTAATATTAACAGATATTTTTGGTTGGACAAAAGACCCATGGGCTATTTGTTCTTTTTTACCTCTCATTGTAAAAGTAAATCAAGCTCTTATATCCACCTCTCTTTGCCCACTTGCACCCTCCCTCATCAAGATGAATGAGCAGAATCAATATGCTTTACTATCCATCAGAACAGATATAAGGACAATATATATTTATGTAAAAATGAACTATATTGTCAGCATTTACCATTTTGCTGTTGTTACCTAATGAATTGTGGAAAGTGATACTACCAAGGCTGTGGGCTATTCAGAAGACTGATCTGAGACTTAGAACAACTTGGACTGAAATCACAACTGCAGTCACGTCCTCAAGTGAGCCCTGGCCATGTATACTGAGGCATTAGGGTATGTTTTTGTGAAACAGTTAGGGTTCAAGGAACAGACATACTAAGGAGTTTAGCCTCATTGGTCTTGCTTAGATTTGTTTGAGAGAAACTGTAGAGTCATCGAAATGTATAGCTGTGCCAAAAATCAGCTGTAGAAAGCACCTTATTGGCTTGGTGTCACATATATACTTATTTGAAGGGCAGAACACAAAACCTGAGGTCAGTGATGGTTCTTTCCACTACACCATCTTGCCCATGATGGTTTCTTTCTATTATACCATCTTGCCCTTGATGGTTCTTTCCATTAAACCACCTTGGCTTGGTTGTCTTATAAAATGCATGTTACCTGAGAAGTCACCCTGTGTTCACAGAACCAGCACACTTCCAGACATTCTTTGCTTGGAATCCTACTTCACTTTTGTCCATGTCCAGTCAGCCTGGTCAAGGCCAATAACAGAAACCTTTCATCAGTTATCTACTCTGCGCAGGGCATTGCTAGACTCTGTGAAGAATAGCAAGATGGATTCCCAAATCATCAAGACTCCTCATGCTTTCTTATGTATCTTTTAAAGAACCTAAGCCCATTCCCTCACTTGCTGAATATTTATGGAGCCCCTACCCAGTGCCTGGCCCTGGGATCTATACTAGTTGTAGAGTGGCAAATACAACAGCACAGAACTCTGATTTCAGGGCATCTCCTTTTGCCTAGACCTTCTCTAGCCTCTTTTACATACTTGGCCACTTTCCTGTTCCATTCCACCTACCACCAATGGATTAATCTTTGTGAAAAGCTCTTTGGCCCTGATGGGGTGTGCATTGCCTCAGGGTGAGGGGATACTCTTAGGGTCTGGTATTCCCACCTTTATTTACCTTGTCTCCATAGCTCCTCATGGGAGCCACCCAGTGCAGCCAGGCTGATCCATTTGCCATTGCCTAAACACGCCTCGTGCCCCTCCTCTGTGCCTCTGCTCATGCCAGTCCTTCTCCTGAAATGTCCTATTCTCTGCTCCGCTGGCCCAAGTCATGCCCATCTCTCAAGGTCTGACTTCTCAGGTTCACACGAAGGCTTCCTAGCTGATTATAATCTCTTCCTTTGAAAATGAAGCACTCATCATTTCCTTTTTTTTTTTTTTTCACCACCAGCACCCCCTTTAATAAAACATGGTGGGGGGCATTGTGTGACAGAAAGAAGGGGGTGAAATAGGACCATTTACAAACACACACAAAAAAACCTCTGTACATGTCTAGCGCGTGGCAGAGGGGACAGGCAGGGCAGCAGCGGCCCGGGAGCAGCCCTATTTGTAGAGGATATCATAGTGTCCAGGCCGGTAGAGAAGGTAGACCTTGGGCTCGGAGCCCTCCGGGAAGATGTGCGGGTTGGTGGCGCCATCCGCGCCGCGGTCCATGTACTCCACCTGGATGGACACACTGAGGGCCTGGGCCAGCGCGATGATGTGGATGTGGTCGCTCTCCTTGCACATGGGCTCCGCCTCCTGCTGGCAGAACTCATTGACAGTCCGCCCACCCTCGATGAAGTGCCCACTGAAGGTCACATGGGAAAGACACTCAGAGAGTGGGTCACATACCATTAAATAGTGATTTTTTTTTCACTTTTTGGGTGTCAGGATCTCCACTGATAATCTAATGAAAGTTCTATACCCTATTTCCAGAAAAACACATATATGCAAATATATAAAATTTTACATATAAATTCAGGAAATTTAGAGACCTCGTGAAATTATGCGTGGCTTCCGTAGGAGGTTAATGGACCCCAGTTAAAAAGTCTTGTTCCAAGTAATCTTTAAATGTTACCATTGTGTTTGTTCTTGTTTTTAACATAGCCAGAGAGAAGAAAAATTGGTACAGGCTATTCAGGCAAAAGTAATCTCTGTTATTATCCATGTTCAATGTATCTTGAGTGACAGAAAAGAAAAAAGAAGGGCTATCTTAGGTTATTTGAGAAAATACTGTTTTGGAGGTTTGGAGTTTTGAAAGTGACAGGATTTTGTTGTTGTCGTTGTCATTTATCTTTTAACCAACCCCAAAACTGACCTATCAAAATGAGTTCAGGGCCAAGTGTACTTCATTTCAGCACTGAAACCCACCGCTTCTGCATGGATAGGACCACCAGTCTGGGCTGAAGGTGGGGGAAAAAAGCTGGATTTTTCTTTACAGGAGAAAGGTCTGCACAATCAGGTTTTCCTGTATTCATTCATTCATTCATTCATTCAACAATTGTTGAGTGTATTCTCAATAAAAGGTGGGTGCCTTTTGTTGATAGGGAACAACTCAGGTTATTCTTATTTCTTTCTTTCCTTTATTTTTTTTTTTACAGAGTAAAGTTATTTTATTGTTCCTGACTATGACCCAGGATCCTTTGTTTTCCTTTATATGCAGTGCTATTTAAGTCATACTAGAACTGACAAAAGTCCATTCAATGACAAATACTTCCAAAGCTAAATGCTGGGCTCTGGGAACCCATCTTTAACAGGTCCAGGGATCAATTGCATGTGACTGTGAAGTACTTGACCTTTATTCAGTTGCTTCCAGTGGTCCGGCTATAACTTGGGAAGTTCAAAAGGATCTTCTTGGTGGGGAGGAGGGTGAAGCCTCTTGCCTGTAAGACTCTTGCTAGTGTCAGGGGTAGATGCAAACATACGTGGGATGTTTTCCTCATCTGAATTCCTTACCAGAAACTCAGATATTTGGTCCCTGTCTTTCCAAGAATATCTTAAGGATATTAAAGTTTCCTTAATCTTTGAGATTAGATTGCTGGAACCAGCAACATTAGTCTTGTCCATTAGAGATGATTATAGAGGGTACTGATGCATAGATTTAAAAAAAGGGACTCAGTTGTTTTGGAGCTGACGGGGTGACCTCCTCAAACATTCTGCTTTCGCTGATGTAGGGAACTTGTCCCCAGACTTAGGCCCTCTAAAAATCCTGCTGCTGGCTGGACCATGACAAACTACGATGCTCAAATTTCATGAGGATGATTGCCTTAGTTGTCAAATTGGTAGACAAATAAAGGGGACCATTGCAATAATAAAATGAATAACCTATAGATACGGTCTAGCAGCACCAAACTGACCATTTCAGTGGGAAAACAAGTCATCTGAAGTAAAAGATGGATACAGTACTTTGGTTTTCTGTACACAACTAATTTTAGCAATGAACTTAATGGCCATCATGCATTTTTGAAACAATCCACTAACTGTAAAGCAATATATATATGTATCATAATCAATTAACTTTATAAGTTATGTTACTAAATGTGACTAATTCACCTCCCCCCCTCCCCCCGACTGGCATGCATTTATTTTTGTTTTTATTTGTGGCTCTGGAATAGAGTAACTTTTATTTATTAATAATGCTTAAGCATTTTTCCTTTTTTTGTACCTTTTTGTTTTTAATTACCCCATGAATTCTAAAAAAATAAGATCCAACTTCTGAATTACCATGTTATTTAATGGTGGCTAAACAGACAGCAGAGGGAATATAATTGTTCAGTGAGGGCTAAAAAAGAGGAATGATTTGAATGTTTACTATCTTCTTCCTCTTTAAAAAACAGTTGATGACTTTCCTCTTTCATACTTCAGAATCTTTAATATTTGCTTCTCTTCTATAAGAGATTATATTTGACTTATTAAAATATAAACCGTGTCCAAATGATTGCATTTTTACCTTTAAAAATTATATCTGGGAATTTGTTTTTTGCAGAAATAAGGCTAAAGACTTCTGCTTCAGTAGAGGTGACATGTTTGTGTTATTGCTGTCAAAATGATTTTATTGCCAGTAATAAGCCTCGTGGGATCAGAACATGCTTATTGTAAACACATGTTTTTTCCCAGTGATCTACATCATGCCGATGTTTGACAGCTCAAATGCTGATAAGGGTGATGGTTTCTCCATGGTGATGGTTGGAAAAATGAGGGTCTGAGTCCTCCATTTGGGGTATTAGAATTTAACTGAGTAGGAGGAGAGAAGAAACAGTAATAAATGTCAGAGTTTCAGGCAACTATGTGGTATGGTTGTGGTAGAGATGTATCAGGCAATTGAAAGTTTTCTAGGTGGTGGCATCTTGCTAAAATAATAAGCACAGGTTTATAAATGAAAAACAAATGCAATCTATGTAGGGAAGGATTGTCTGTGAATATACAAGTGGCCAGTCCAGGAAATGTTGAAGTAACATTTGTCTTTCTTAATTTCTATGCTTGTGTCCCCCATTCCCCTTCTGAAGCCAGGCCTGAGACTTTAGATAGCAGCTTAGGGGGTCTGGCCCTGATACGTTTACTCTTTTAATTTTAGAATTTCCTTCTGGTCTCTCAAAAGTGTGGCATATTATCTTCTGTTTTATAAATATAAAATGTACACAGTAATTTACATTTTGTTTTAGAGAAGCCCTTTAAATGTTTGGAGACAGCCCAGATCATCCCTATTTAGGCAGTGGTCTCCAAACCTTTCTGCTTATTCACCCATCAGTAAAACTTTCTGAGCATGCCCCTCCATGTATTTATTTATGATATATATATATATATATATGTATATATGTATACACTGCTGTATATGTATATACTGTTGTACTGATGTAAACATTAAAAACCATAGCAAACATAGAAATTTTAAAAGTATATTTTCTGGTCCACAATGGATTTTAGAGAATGGGACAAGGGGTCTTTAGGGGTTAGCACCCAGATGGCTGTAATTGATTAGAAAATGTGTATATACTATTTGTGGCAAAGCACATATAAAATAGGCTTGGACACATGATTTTAAGTCAAGGTATGTAATTATTTTTACCTAAAATAGGCATTTTTGGTTGGGGAAGAGAAAGATGAACAATTCAGTGTCAACTTTAAGATTGCTCTTTTTAATTCTGCTTTTGGGACCACTTGATCTAGAATGTCTTGAAAATTCCGGAAAGATTTAACAACACACTGACTTAAGCAAAACAAGGAAAGAAAGTAGGGGTGGGGTGGTACCCAAATAATGCAAATACGGGATGTGTTGTCTGAGAATTTCAGCATCAATCTGAAAAACATGTTTTGATAATGCCTGGTAATTCAATTCATCATCTCACTGATTACATGTCTTTTTTTCTATTTGTTTATAATCTTGTGTCTTCAAATGTGGAAGATGTACAGACTTATTTTCAGATATCTGAGATAGGAAGGGCCAATGTTGGCATAATTTGAACTCACATTTCAGCTGCTTGGGGGCTGACGGGTGGACACCACCTGGAAACACCTGCACCATCTGTTTTGCAAACACAATGATTAGCATCTTGCTGAATGATGACCCCAGTATGAAGGTGGCATTTCAGTGTTTATTTCTGGACCTATGAGTTACTTTAGCAGACTTATTAGTAGTTTATGAAGCCATATTTAAAACTTGTACACTTGATTGTAAGATAGATTTGAATTGTGCACTATGTTGATTACTGTATATAAATGTGGAAAATCTGTATATTTGGTCTTAATGCTTTATGTATTTGATGTGTAAATGATAACTAATGGAAATGAAATAGTTTTCTGTGAATGTCTTTTTTCCAACTTACTTCTCTTTTGCAAATTTGAATGTTTAAACTTCAGGCTTATGGGGAAAATCTGAAATGTTTGCATCTAATATACTGTTAAGTGGTGGCCTCTTAGATGAATGGGAGAATATTTTAGTTGTAAGGCTCTTGTATAATTAAAACAGAGGTAATGAATTTTTTAGGCATATAACTTTCTGATAGAATTTCAAATGAGTGGCTTTTAAGAAGAAAAACAGATCTCTGGAATATGCTGTCCCATCCTCTCCTGCTTTTATTTCATGCCCAGTGTGCCTCAGAGTGTTACGAAGTGTGAGAACCACTGGTAGAGAGAAGAAAAGGAGAGGGAGAGCTGGAGCACATGTTAAGACCTTTACTATGGCTAGGCCTTATAATAGACCAATTTCTCCTTGCATAAATACCGTCTCAATTAGTTTTCATGCCTCTTCAATAAAGTAATTATGGTGAAGAGGTTTACAGATGAAGAAAGAGGTTTTGGGTGATAAAATGGCATACAGTAATATGGCCATGCTATGCTCAAGTCATTGGGGTCAGAGATTCACAGCAAGATTTTGGAAATTCAAATCTTACTACGTAGTGATTCACACATGTATATGGTAATGAACCTTAAAGGATAGCTAGGTCTATAGGCATGTCAGGATCTACAGAGACATGCAGATGTTTCAAATTCTATCTTAGAATTTGACCAACTGTTTGGTCAAATAATACTGTTACTCAAATATTAGCTTTTTACCATTTAAAGCAAATTACAATCAGGTAACACTCAAAATTCTAACCCTCCCTTCTCAACATGAGAATATCTGTTAAGTAGCAAATGAGAGAACCCCCTAATCCCACATTTCAGTGGTAATACAGATTGAGTATCTCTTATCTGAGTGCTTGGGACCAGAAGTGTTTTGGATTTGGGTTTTTCTCAGATTTTGAAATATTTGCATCATACCAGTTGAGTATCCCGAAATCAAAATTGGAAATCTGAAATGATCCAATGTCCGTTTCATTTGAGTGTAATGTTGGTGCTCAAAAAATTCTGGATTTTGGAGCATTTCAGATTCTGGATTTTTGGATTTGGGATGTTCAACCTGTAGTTTGGTTTTTATCTTTTTAGACTCCATTTCTCTTGACTTTTAATTTCTAACTATTTAGCCCTGTTTATTAACATAGACAGTCCTCAGAAATGCTTTGAAATAGATCTTCATCTACTTCAATGTCAGTTGGCTCTAGACCCTTGTAGAACTTGTATGAGTTCCTGGCCTTCCCGTCTGTCCTGTTAGGGAAGCTTTGCTGCCCTGGCTTTCAGGACTCCTCAGAGGGAAGGGGGTCATTTGTTTTTCCAGTGTGCTGGTCTCTCAGAAGCGTTAAAATACATGTTTTGCTGCCATTTGTACTGTTTCTTGACTCAATTTTTCATATTTCAGTTCTTCTTTCCTTTTAGAGGAGAGGAGGAACAGCTGGTCTCCCTGCCCTCCCAGATGCTGCCTGATTTGTTTCTAGATGACGTCACCGGCAGGCACTCATTAGATCCTTCACAGCTGGGCTGGTTCCCATTAGCAACAGACTTTCTTCTAAAAACTATCAAGGTCAGAGTAGCTTATCCTTTGGATAAAAGCGGATTTTCAAAAGAATAAAAAGGAAAGAGAACCAGCTTCCTTCCTTATGGAGTTAATGTGTTGCTGCCCTGTGTGCCTAAGACATCTATTTTAGTGCCAGTGTTCTTGTTATGAAGACTTAGGGGGTCGTCTCCAGTGCAGGGCCTGTTAGGATTGGAGGGTTACAACCACCTACTGCAGCGTGTGTTCGGCCTGGGCAAACACTGGGTAACCCAGGCTCAACATCGTATCAAGGTAAACCTGGATTAAAACAAACATGAAAGGCAGCCCGGGAAGGGCAAGGGTTGAGGGAGGGTCTGTGTGAGGGAGATGCAGGCCCAGGCCCCTTCTCCACTCTACCTATTTACAGGCATTGATTGTATGGGGGCCTGGCTGCCTCCTTCTCCACCATCACAGGCCTCCTCCCAACTTTAGCTGGGGGATTTAATGGAAGATGGCGGAAATCCTATATGACTGTCAAACAGTCAAAAGTCAAATAGTCCAGATTCACTGGTGGCACAGCTTGGGAACTGGGGTAATTGAGGAGGAAGTACACAGGGTCAGACTCTACGCAAGTCTTCTCTTTGGGAGTAAGGAGGGTGTTTGAGCAGGAGACTAACACAATGAAAGAATATTTAAATAAGGTTCATCTGAGGACAGCCTGGATACAGTCAGAGAAGAGGCCATGGTAGAGCAATGAGACCTGCTGATTCCCAGGGCTCAGAGTGAAGCTAGACGCGTGCAAAGGGGAGTGGGTGGTGGAGACCGGGAGTGGGAGTGAGCAGCTGCGTGCGCAAGGAAACGCTGAGGCTCCTGGGATGTGAGGAGCAGCAGGTGGAGAGAGATGATGAACGTGAAGGTAATGCTGAGGCTCCTACCCCTTGAGATGGGGGAATGTAGTGATGCTGCTGTCAGATAGGGGAAATGTGGAGGAAGGGGAATGGGTTTGCAGGGCAAGTGGAGTCTGGTTTTAGTCACGCTGAATTTGAGGATCCAGTAGCAAATACAGGACTGGAACTTGTGATGGGATAATGTGAAGCCTCTGAAGAGCCAGTTGAAGCAAATAAGCTGAAGAACGAGAGACAGAATAAAAATTACTAGCACCTTATATTTGTATTATGTTTAATTGTCTTTAAGATATTGTCAGTAACTCCTGGAGCACGTCACTATTACCTTCTTATATAAAATTAGGGGGCCTGCAGGGTGATCTTCAAGAGACCTTCTAGCTCAGACCTCCTTCCATCCTCCCCTTCCTTCCTACCTCATGCTTTGCTGATTCTCATATCAATGAAAACAGTTTATTGACCAACTAAAAATAGCTGACATTTACCTATCACTTACCATGTGCCAAACACTGTGTTCTTTGCAACTTACATATATTAACTCATTGAATTCTCAGAACAATAAAATAGGTGCTACCATTTTCACCATTGTCATTGTCACCATGATCACCATCATGTGACTCCATCATCATCACCACCACCACCATTACCAATGTCACCATCGCCAGCACCACCACCACAACCACCACCATCACCATCACCATCACCATCACCATCACCATCACCATCACCATCACCATCACCATCACTGTCATCTCTGCTGATTAGAAAACTGAGGCAAAGTTAGGTTACATAACTCGCTGGAGCTCTCATGCCAAGTGAACAGCAGGGCCAGGGTTTGAAAGCAATGAGTCTAGGTTTATTAATGTAGCTTTCACACTAGCTCGACACCACTCTGTCTCTTCTGCTATCAGATCACACAGCCTCCTGGGTAGAAGGCTGTAAAGACTGGGAGTTGCTTGTGTTGAACTAGGAGTGATTTAACTTCATCAACTTCTGTTAAATCACCCTCACTTAGTAATGCAGGGTTTGCCTTCTTACAGAACACATCCAGATCTGTATCATCATGCCCTTGATCTATGTTCAGACACTCCTTGATTCTCTGTTAGGGGGCCTGTCTGATTTGTGAATTATATGTGGTCAGTTCACTTTTATTATTATTATTATTATTATTATTATTATTTTGAGATGGAGTCTCACTCTGTCACCTAAGCTGGAGTGCAATGGCCCTATCTTGGCTCACAGCAACTTCCACCTCCTCGGTTCAAGCAATTCTCCTGTCTCAGCCTCCCAAGTAGCTGGAATTACAGGTGTGTGCCACCATGCCCAGCTAATTTTTGTATTTTTAGTAGAGACGGGGTTTTGCCATGTTGACCAGGCTGGTCTCAAACTCTTGACTTTAGGAGATCCGCCTGCCTCGGCCTCCCAAAGTGCTGGGATTACAGGTGTGAGCCACTGTGCCCAGCCAGTTCACCTTAATTCTGATGGTTATAACCATTGGTTCCACACAATTCACCCACCCTGAGTTCTTAGACAGGGGCCCTGGGGATATTACTGAAAAAATAAAGGAGAAAACACCCTTAAATGACAGGATTCTTAGGGCTTCAACTGCCACTGCCTTGAGGAGCTCACCTTACATATTGCTTTCCACCATCTGCAAGCAGATGATACACACTTCTACATCTCCCAGCTTCCCATCTCCAGACCCACATATAAACACATCTATGGACACTGCCTCTCATGTCCCAACATATTCAGAAGTGAACTTATTTTATTTATTTATTTTTTTTGAGACGGAGTTTCGCTCTTGTTACCCAGGCTGGAGTGCAATGGCGCGATCTCGGCTCACCGCAACCTCCGTCTCCTGGATTCAGGCAATTCTCCTGCCTCAGCCTCCTGAGTAGCTGGGATTACAGGCACGTGCCACCATGCCCAGCTAATTTTTTGTATTTTTAGTAGAGACGGGGTTTCACCATGTTGACCAGGATGGTCTCCATCTCTTGACCTTGTGATCCACCCGCCTCGGCCTCCCAAAGTGCTGGGATTACAGGCGTGAGCCACCGCGCCCAGCCCCAGAAGTGAACTTATAATCACTTTCCCCTAGTCTGTTGTTTCCTGATGTTTCTAATCCACCCAATGTCTGAGCAAAACTCTTGGAGTCATCTAAAGGGCTCCTACCTTCCCCTTGAAAATTTCGAGTTACCTAATCCTGTAGATTCTGCTTTTTGAAAATAGTTTTTTAATTTAATTTAATTTTATTTTATTTTAGAATCAGGGTACATGTGCAGGTTTGTTATATAGGTAAATTATATGTCACAGGGGTTTTGTGTACAGATTGTGTCATCACCCAGGTAATAAGTATGGTACTTGATAGGTTGTTTTTCGATCCTCACCCTCAAAACCTCCACCCTCAAGTAAACCGTGGTGTCTGTTGTTTCCTTCTTTGTGTCCGTAAATACTCAGTGCTTTGCGTCCACTTATAAGTGAGAACATGCAGTATTTTGTTTTCTGTTTCTGTGTTAGTTCACTTAGGATAATGGCTAT